AGCTTCACAACTAAAGAGCTTAGGAAAAGTAAATAAGGAATAGAGGGAGAGTAAAGCAAATCAAAAGGCAAAGAAAAGGAAACACACATTCAAAGCCTCAAATCTCTAGACATTATTCTAGGGCCCCCCCTAAATAATGTCAGAAAGCAGCTTGCTGGACTACCCCCTTTGCTTGATTGCTCTTTTTTGTTTTTCAATACTTTTGAATAAGGGATGTTATAAAGAAAGCATCAAATCTCAATGGAAATCTTCAACTGTTTAATAGAATTCTCCATCCAAAAGCCTCCAAAAGCATCAAATCTCAGTGAAAATCTTCAACTGTTTAATAGAAATCTCCATCCAAAAGCCTGTAAGATAAGCAAATCCCAGCAAACTCAAAAGGGAAAAAGAAAACTATAACAATAAAAAATATCCCACTACAACTACCCCTCCCAAAAAAAAACATTATTCTGGGGGCCTTTATAAATCTGTGCAGGAAAAAAAGTGACATTATTCTAGGGTCGTTTATAAATCAAAGGTCCACATTAAGGGAACCGACCTTTGGAGAATTGCGCGGCGCTGCTTTGAAGCGAAGGTCATGCAGTGGCATACATGGAGTGTCTGGGTGTTATTTTGTGTTTCCTTTGAACAGGATCCTGCAAACTATGGAAACGACCAGAAAGTCTACGGTAGAGCCTCAACACGCGAGAATGCAGAGATCGAACAGGTCAAAAGCATTCAAAAGCACGCTTTGCCACGTTTGTCTGCATCGGTTGTTGACTCGCTTCGGAGTCTAAGATTTTGGACTCGTGCTTCACAGGGTATTCAAGGAGCTGTTAAGCTGGTCATGGAATTGTTCCTGGCCAGGCTTGTGAAAGTGCGATCGACTATCGCTCAGCGGAGAAATGGTTTGACAGGATGACGCAGGTGCGACACTGTCGAGAGATGTATGTTTTTTGCAGGAGAGAATCACGCGACCCTGGAACTTGGATGTGTGCTCCAGCTTGTGAGAAGATGTAAGAACTGACTCGGTGCCACTCAAACGTTTTCCATGCTTACATACTTGCCATGGACACAGGCTTGCCATGCTCGTCTCGTCTCGTTTTGCGGCGTAGCGCCGCGGTCCTCGGGACCCATGGGAGGCCAATGTCACGGCGAATGCCGTGTCTTACAACTTGATCATCAAGACCATGGCCAAGGCCCGCGACTCAGTGACGGGCGCTGATGTTTTCAGAATCGATTCTTCTCCGGGTGCTGGGTGAAGGCACCAGGTCCCATGAAAGGACAACAAGATCAATCAAGGAGTCACGTGACGAGATGTGGACACGTGGAAAGGACTGAGAAAACACTGGGTTTTGCGCCGTGAGGACCGTGGGTCCAGAGATACCCGGTTGATCAGTGGTTTGCGTGGTTGACGGAACTCAATGCTGAATGGTTTCCATGTTTCCACTTCCTGCGAGGGGCGTCTGCCATAGAACTCATGAAGAAACGCAGTATTGATGGATGTATATTGGACAAGGAGAAGGCTCCCCATTTAAACGGGTAAAATCTTTAATTTGATAAAACCAACCCATTTGGATTGTACCACCTTTATGTCTAATATCTTTTTTAAATAAACATGTTTTATGAATCAACAGTCTACATGGTTTGGTCCATACCCCTCGAGGGATGGGTCCTCCCTGGACAGCCCGAACCTAGGCCGGACAGCCCAAGAAGGCCAAGCAATGGGGACGCAGAATGGAGCAAGCAGGCAAAAAGAGGGTTTGTCCAGACAGAGAAACGTTATTGATTTGGATGGTTTTGGCTACAATCTTGCTGATATAAGCGGCTTCCAGTTTTGCTAAGGATTAATGTAGTTAACGATGTTCCACACGAACTTTACGAGATCTTTGAGAGTGAGCATCCCGTGTCGTTCACAACCGAACTTGGACATGGATGCCGCACCAACGTCCAGCATCCTCAGAGGCGATGCGACATGTTGTTTGTTCGGCAATTGAAGCGTGTAGAACACGGTGTATGAACTTGAAGCCGAAGCAGTTGGTGTACCCCGCATCAAGTGCTTTCACCGAAGCCCCTGGCAAGTTGCTAGCAGATAACTTTTTTTTGTACTACTTGATCAAATGAGCTGCTGAATGATCCTTTCCTTGCTGAAATAGAACATCAAGCCAAGCACCGCTTCGCACAGATGCCACTTGGCAGGTCTTCTTTCATCGAAGACTTTGCAGTTTGAGTTGGTGTGAGCCCGAGCGAGGGAGAAACCATTGAGAAAAGGTCATGCTGTCTGTCCGCGCCAGTGCAGATGGCCGGTTTTTGGTGCCAAAGCAGGGGAGAGCAAACAGATCGCACCATTGATACACGACAGAAGATCAATCAAAGCTACTAACAGCAAGGACTCACAGAGGTATTTTGAGGTGAAATATTAATATATACTATATATATTATACTATATTATGTTATAAATACTGTGTATATATATATATAACTATATATTTGTGCCATACAATTCCACCCCGTCTGAACACAAACCAATGATCCCTTTGCTTGGTCGGCTTTTGCGTTTGTGCTCTTCTGCTTTGTCCGACACTTCCGCACATGTTTCACTGCAGGTTGTGAAGAGCTTGCTTCAGACCAGCCAAAATTCAGCGGACTACATCGCTGGATGGGTGCGGCACCCGCGTCTTCTTCGCGCTAGAAACACGCGCCCAACGCGGCGAACGCGGGGCATTCGTGCCGTACGCGGGGCTGAGACTAACACTGCACGTTTCAGCACTCACAGTGTTTTTGTTCGGGAAGTGAAGTGAATCACCAGTTGATGCATGTTGATCCTGTGAAACGACCCACCAATGATCAACAACCTTCAACAACACCGCAGCGGAAGATGTTACCCCGCATCGTCGCCCACGCGAGGTTTGTGCCATGCAGGGCAGGTGGTTGGATCGACCCCGAAACGGCTCCGAGCAGCCGAAGTGTGGGTATACCACGAGGGAGCCATGCTTGGTATACTCTTGCATGGGAAAACCGTCCTGGACCCCTCCAAAGACCTATGAAGCAGAAACGAAGACTTTCGAAGAAAGGCGATTCACCAAAAGGAGACAGGCGATTCACCAACATCACCAACCATTTTGCCCGATCTGGGACAACTCAGGCGGCAAAAGCAAATGAGCTGAAGAAGGACATGAATGCCTCGGTCTATCACAACGTCGGGGATCCCAGAACCGGACCGGTGCGATGCCACCGGTCGTTCTGGGTCGTCCCGGTCGGTGACGAAAACTCTTCCCGAATGGGTCAAGCACTGTAAGTGCTTGAATGGGTCTGATGGGGTCAGATGGGGGGACACTGTTCAATGTGTTTCCTTCGATGTCTCCAGTTGTTTTGCTTCAGAGAGTTGCCAACTCGCAATGACATCAAGTCAACATTGATGCCCCAAGCTAGTGCCCAAGCTATAGCAAGGGCTGGTGTCAGTAACTTTGTATTGTACATTGCACTGGTGGTTGCTATTCCTTTGTCTCGGTGATACATTTTGCAATGTACACTGAATCTACAGAATTTGGCATGTGGACGTGTCCCTTTTCTTCCTCCAGGTCATGCGGGCCTACTTCCTGGAGAACAAGCCAGAGGAAGCCAGGCTGGAACACACCACAGAGCTTTCTCCAGTCGCATGGAGGTAGGACGTTGTTCTCTCGATTGCTGATTTGATAGGTTTCACAGGATGTGCAGAAAGGAACACTGGGAAAAACATTTCATGTACCCATGGCCCATGGCTAGCTTTTGGTGATTGAGAAGATCGCGATTGTCATATATTTACTATATACTTGTTTCAGTGATGATTCGAGCTCCTGCTTTTGGCAGCTGTGCCGGCTTAGCAAAGTTTATTGCGGTTCCCGGCGCAACCATTGCAGCACACCCCAACGCCGAGAAGGAAGCAGCAATGGCGCAGCAAGTGCAGCTTTCCGATTTCGAGATGGGCCGCACCCTTGGTTGCGGCTCCTTCGGGCGGGTGAAGTTTGCAAAGTACAAACCAGATCCTCAGCCATTCCCAAGTCTTTGGTTGAGATGATAATGCCCGGTGGCCAGTACATTTCAGGTAGGTTGAAACCGCCAACCAGATCTGTTTGATGTTTCATATGTTTTCAAGGCTGTAATTTTGGATATTCCTGGTACTGAAGACTCGGGGGAATTCTGTTTTAGCAGCTTTTTTTTCCCTTGAACCAGCTTACCAGTGGCTATGAGGATGGGAAGTATTATGCAGTGAAGTTCATGAAGAAGCACGAGATCATCAAGCTAAAGCAGGTGGATCATATCAACAACGAGAAGAGGCTCATGGCGCAGATTTCTTACCCTTTCATTGTGAACATGATGGGCTACTTGTCCATACTGGCTTTAGACAAAGACTACTTTTACAATTGAGGCTGTTTGCTTTTACCATGTTTTTTTTTCATTTTTTGGAATGGTAATAGCACCGCTAGACAGTTGATCAAGTGGACAATAATTGACATGCTGTTTCCACCATGTATTTCTGCCACGTATTTCTCAGGGTCCAGTTATGGCCAGTCAAGGCTATTGCAAAGATGAACACTTCGTTTACATCGTCATGGAATCGATCAACGGTGGGGAGCTCTTTACACATCTGCGCCGTGCACGCAAGTTCTCCGATGAGCAGTCCAAATTCTATGCCTTGCAAACCGCAGCAGCCTTCGCACACATCCACAGCAAGAACATCATTCATCGCGACTTGAAACCGGAGAACATCCTCCTCCTTTCCAATGGCCACTCAGAGATAAGACTTCGAAGCAATCAGACTTAGATAATTACATACTGTTCAGATGTTTTTCCAGACGAACATCCCACGACTGAGGCTACTCCAAGTTGACGGATTTCGGCTTCGCGAAGATCATCGAGCCCGGCACCCGAACCTACACCCTTTGTGGCACCCCAGAGTACATAGCACCCGAGGTCTTGCTGAACAAAGGCCACGGCAAACCGGTTGACTGGTGGACTTTGGGCATTCTGATCTATGAGATGATCTGCGGGCAGCCTCCCTTCTGTGATGAAGACCCCATGGGGATTTACCAGAAGATCCTGGCAGGAAAGGTCTACTTCCCCAAGTATTTCGACAAGAACGCCAAGGCTCTGGTCAAGAAGCTCTTGGTGGCTGACCTGAGCAAGCGCTTCGGGAACTTGAAAGATGGCTCGGCGGATATTCTCAAGCACAAGTGGTTTGAGTCCTATGAGCTGGCCAAGTTGGAGAACTTCGAGGTTCCTGCACCCTACAAGCCCAACATGAAGGATGAGAACGACACCTCCAACTATGAGGACATCCCTGACTCCAAAGAGTTGCCTCCACCGGTGTCCGCCTCTCAGGACCCTTTCTTGGACTGGTGATTTCCCTTGGCCTGAAACGGCCCGAATGGCCTGGTATCACCACTTGCATGAGATGCCACAACTGGCGGCAGCGAAAGAAGCGCAAAAGAAGCCGCGACAATCAGCGCAAACATCGCAAAAGTGCCCTGTTGGAACATGTTGGAACGTGTCTGTGCCGCACTGTGTGCCTTAAATAGATCCTTTTGGACAAGTAGCAAAGGGGTCGTCGGGTTTCGGACATGATGTAGGGTCGTCGGGCGCAGTTTCTCAGTGCAAGATGCTGTTGTTTGGATGCATGCTGAAGAGGCAATGGGTTGAGTGGATGGAGACAAATGGCACCTCTACGAATAGCGAGACCTACATGATGCTGATGAGGCCTCAGGGTTTTGGAGCACGCATGTCGAATTGCACTGGGTGCATGAAGCACACGTAGGGCCGGTCCCCTTCCCACTGATTGTGGGCGAAGCATGGCGAAGCTAAATCACTTCACAGTGCTACGACATTTACATAGAATAACCATGAACTACCTACAATTGCCTACATGACGACTACATGACTCATGACGACTACGGATGACGACGACGGACCAGCAAAAAATCAAGGATTGCCATGGCTACTGCGACTGACTCAAGACGACCATGATCGGTCTCATTGATGACGTTCATCATCATCCTTAGTCTTGAATGACTTGACATCGATCGTCAGGTTGAGTCCTTGACGTCGTTATTGATTTAGTCTTATTTGTCAGTCGACTGTCATTGATGTTGGTTTGGCATGACGTCTAAGTCAAGTCGTCATCATGGCATTGGTGACGGCGACTTGATGATTAAGAAGACAGACTCCTTACGTCAAAGGGCTTTAACGAGTCTGTCGCCTTCATGATGACTACGACCGACGCATTGATCATTAGACTTAGTCTATCATGAGTACATGGAGTAGGTTTAAATATAGATTTGAGAATATTGACTTGTTTCAAGAACGCTTTCTGCATAATTTACTTAATGTATTTATACATATATATATATATTGTTTAATTAATGTGACTAATTTAAGTTTCAAAGGGTCAAAACCACAATACTATATATTGAATGCATTGTTAGTTTAAGTATTGTAGAGATATGATAAAACTAATAGACTATTTACGCAGTATATTAACAACTTTTCAATAGCTGAATGAACATATTTCTATTGTTAATATAATTTGATAAGTTTCATTCGTTTGAAATTTGAACGATCCTTCGGCATCATTCGGGACCTTTGTATGCTTGGTGATGCCTTCACACATCGTTCCAGCGTGTTCCAAATACCCAGATTATCTCAAACGAATCATGGCATTCGGTTTATCACAACAGGACAACAGGTCACTCAGCTTCTAGGGATCCTTGGAAGTTCTCCGGACTATCTGGGACCTCTCATCGCTAGGTACGATGATCGCCAGGCGATCGGGTTCCGATGAAAGAGACTCTCGTGGTCAATCGGTGACTCTCTTGGGTTGAAGTCGGTGCATGTTTTTTCAATCTACTGTACTTTTCAATCTACTGTACTGTACGGATGGTTTTCCAAGTCTTGCAGCTTGGTATATCCTGGTAGCAAGAGCCGATGCAACAGAGCTGCAAAAGTTTGGAGCAGCCCGAAGAACGCCCGCTTCGGGTCCCGCTGCCGTCCGTCGAACGCTTGGTGGTGCCGTTTCGGGTCACGCTTTCGTTCTTCCGGGGCATTGATCGTTTCGATGAGTGTTTTTTCTGTGCTTTTTCCAATCTAAAAAAGCGGAAAAAAACTTGTCCAACCCGCCATGCCAGACCACATTTTGGCACCAGAAGATGGACGAGAAGGGTGTTCCGCCCAGTACCGACAGCTTCAAGTGCCAGACTGAGTCGGGAACGCGTTCTGTCAACTGAGTTCGGCAGAATCGATTTGGGTCCAAACGAACTCCGAAGATCCCTTGTTGTCTATTTGGCTCACCTTGGGAGGTCAAATCAGCTGGAGGTTTGTCTATCTCTGTTTTCTCATACCCCATACCGTCACATTGTGATGTCATACCCGAATGATGCAGATCCGAATCAATTTAAATGTGGGGGTGTATTGAGCGGATAGGCGGATAGTTGGGCAAAAATGAGACCATGAGGCTCGTTCGGCATGGCGAAGTCAACAACAAATCCTTAACAGCATTTACCCTCGGCCCCCCTTTCCCACCGGGGACTGTCACCGCTGATTTCACCCCTCAAAAGCATTCAATATACCTGTTTACATGATCAGATATGACAAACGTTTCTTTGGGAGTCTTTGACACACCGAACCTGAAAGCTGTGATATCCCAAAACCGCATGGATCCAAAAACCGCACGGATCCACGCCTTTCTGTGTTCGAACGGATGGCTCTTCTCGTTTCGGTGGATCTGTCGAGCTCCCGAGCGAAGCTTTGCGGCTCAGTTTGGTGCTGCGCTCCCTGAGCGAAGTCAAGGGCAAGAAGAGACTTCCCTTGGTCGAAGAGTGGTATGAGAGGCACCAGTTTGGGAGTGGATGGAGAGTGGAGGACAGGGCTGAGAGCTGGAAGATGCTCAAAAAACGAGAGCTTTTTGGGGCATGTTTAGGTTTGGAATGGATTTGTCGTCATGGATGGTATGTAAGCTACACAAACACTATATGAAACATGTGGCAATACTATGGAGTGACTCCAACAATACGATATCCAACAACGGATTCACATCATTCGTGCAGCTAAGGCTGTCTCATGCAACCCCGTAGACCGGAGAGAATTGGATTCAGCAGTCAGCAGTCATCGTGACGCCGTGACGACCCAATTGACGCGTGGGAACTTCGATGGAAGGAGGGAATGAACTCATGAACTTCATCGAAAACCACGAGTCGTATTTTTGTCCATGAGGACTTGTGAACACTATTTTCATCATTTTTCATTTCATGGATTCATCAAAGTCTGACAGATCCCTAAAAGCCGCACAGTGCGTTCAGACGAATTCCTTCATGAAACCGTGATGTCAGGATGCAGGATGCGGGTTGCCCCCCCGAACGAGGCCTTCGGCCGCCGAGTGGGGCAGGTTCTTTTGATGTTTCTCCAGAAGTTGGGAAAGTCGTGTTTCTCCACCAGGCCAAGTGTGTGTCAGTCACTGTTGCTCAGGAGGAAGCGATTTGGAGGGAGCTACGAGTTCCCCAAGCCCTTGCTAGGTTGAAGCACGGGTATCCACGGTTTAAGTGTCTAGGTTTGTGTGAAGAATCTGGCCCCAAGTTGGGGACCCCTAGAAAAACAAATTGGAATATAAATATGAATACATTATATACTGTATTTTATTTTATACAAACCATGTCTTTGGAGCATGCAGCGTTCTTCTTGCAGAGTCGGAGTCCAACCATGTCTAACCATGTCCAACCTAGAGTTGTCCTTTGCATTTAATCATTGTGTTCTTGGTTTTTCGGGCTATAAGGGATTCTCCTGATTTCCCGCTGTCGTATTGGCCAACCTCCGGAGACCAAGACAGGGTAATATTCAATTCAATACTTTCCCAACTGTTGATCCAGAACATGCCCCATGTGGTAGACACCAAGGTTAGTGATTGGTGGAACTTTCATTGGCAGAACTCTTCACCATTGGGTTGTTGCGCTTCTAAACGCACTGGTTCTACCATGTTTCACCAGTTTCTTGCCACTCATATCAGCATGACAAACCATGTGTTTGCTTTGATTCACCCATATATCTTCAATTTTACCAACACACATTGATCCTCACTGATTGTCACGGCCCTCCGTTGGTTTCAGGAAACCTATGCCCTGCTGATCTCCGCTGCCGCTAAGAGCGGCCAAAACGTGCGCCACGCGCGGCGTGGGTCCGACGCGACGACGCCGCGAGTTCGGAGTCGCGTGCGAAGGAGTGGGGGAGAAGTGGAGGTGAATCAACAGAGGTTTTTTTGGGGGGAGCCAGTACTGTTTTAAGTAGTGTTCAAAGGCCATACAGAGCAATCCGCACGTGTTTGAACACACACAGAGTGCCATTTAGTTCCTGTTTCATGTTTTTTCCACTGGCCCAATTTTGGGTGAGTTTGCGTGGAAAGACGTCCAAATATCTCATGCTGGTGGAAGTAGTGGCATCATACTAGATCATCCCCACAACAAGAATCTGGAGTAGAGGAAAGATAGTAACAAGAATCTACTTATTTGTAGGAACAAGGCATCGCTACGAACGTCACAAAGGGCATTACGAACGTAAGTAGCATCAATTGCTACGAATGTAACCAGCTATGAACGTAATGCAAAGGCCATACCCGCGGATCCTTTGTTCGGTCACCGTCCACGGGTCCTCTACGGTGTAAGGGCTGCGGCACGGGGCTGCCGCGCGACCAGTTCTAAAGTGGCACATGTTGTGTTTTTGTTTAATCAGAGATCTAGTACGTACGCGGATTTGGTAGAACTGGGAAACATTTGCCTCCTGCGTGCTAAGATGTCGAGGCAATTTGAGGCATGAGTTGCCACTCCCTCACAGGGAACTCCCAGTGCTTCTATTTTTGGCGATGTGACAGAGTCTTGTCGCCAATTGCCGTTTTTAGTTGCTTTTCGGATTCCAGGGCCCGACGGGCCCGCCAGTCCGCAGCCAGGAGGCGGGGGAACAGTGGTTCAGCAAGATGACCAATAGTGGCCTAAGTGGCGCACTCAGGGGCCCAGCGAAAGCTATGATCTAAAAGGGCGAAGGGTTTGCCTACGGGACCAGAATCCGGACCAATCGTCCAATAGACTAGTAGCTTGGATTCCCCCAAATGTTCCTTCCTGTAGACTCAGAGACGTCCTTCTTGCCCTTGAAGAACTGCCGCACTGCCTGCCCCAATTGAGCCAAAGTGCAGCTCGTGAGGAACCTGGGATCTAACTTTGGACCTTCCAAATGCTCCCATGATAGAAACATCAGCCTTGGGTCCTCAAGCCACTTTAGAAAGATAGCAGCAGAAACCATGTGACTGTTTGTAATATTTACTGTAAATCATGTTTAAATCATTGTTTAAAGATCATGTTCAATACTCT